TTTGTCGGTTATTAACGTTACTAAGGCCTTAATAATACCATTTAATATTGAAAACTTCCAGAAATATATTCCTGGAAAATTAAATAATATCTGTTCCAGAAAATCTAGCAAATTAGGTAATATATTTTCGTGTAATTTTTGCTTGAACGTAGATGACTAATTGGATTGAAGAAATTACTTTTTTCCTTGCAGATTTTCTTTCTTCTTTTTCGATATAAATCACGACAAGTAGGTTTCAGTAATCGCACAGCTGACGCTGTTAAAAATTCTAAACTATTTGTGTACTTTATGCTAAGAGAAATTACATCAATTTCTTATAGTTGTGAAAATCTTTTAATATTAAAACGTGCTAATCATATGATAAAAAATTATGAAAAAATAATTTAAAACTTACAAAGGGTCTTTATCTACGGTATCATCACCATCATCATTTTCAGCTTATTCAAATATGTTCAATTATGGTTGCTTTACATATCTATATAACCTCTCTAATGTCCGTTTTAAGTGTCTAGGATTTGCATAGGTCATTACTGGTAGTACACATTGGTTAAAAGTTTTCTTCTTAGATAATAATATTATATCTTTCTAGAGTATAGTGTAATTATGTAAAAAAATGTTCCCTAAATGCTACTTTGTTTTTTAATAAAAGTAGTGATTGACCTGCAAAACATACTAGGTTAATCAACGTCGTTTTTTTGGAAATAGTCAATTGGGGATGATATGAACAGGGGCTAAGTAAAGCAGTAACGTCGCAAAGTCCAATATCACAAGAGAATCAAATACAATTTTGTTTCCTCGGGGTGGCGTACGAAAGTTTCAAATAAGCCCAGTGGGAGTGAAAGATTTTTGTGGGTCTTCGTAGCGGCATAGAACGTTGGCGTCAGGCTGACTAGGACCGGCCTGTGCCAAAAACCAGGCCAACAATTCGATATCGGCCGAACGTAGGACCAGCTAAGCGTAGCGCTATTCTAACAAAAACTAGCTGTAAAAAAATAAGTCCAATTCACAACATCTGTAACGCCATTTTTCGAATTATTTCATAATTATGCAATAAAAAAGTTATTTTAATTTTTTTAAACACACAACTATAGTTTAATTTAATAATAATTATTTATTTATTAATCAAACTACATGGTGAGTCTTAAATAAATGCAAATATTTTAGGGGTAGTATATTTCGACCCCAGAAACACGTCTATGAGGTTTTTTTCGCGAAAAAAATCTTTTCAAAATTTGGAATTTTTTTTAGTTTTTAGTTAAAAAATACAATTTCTTGATAATATGGCAACATAGGCAGTAGATTAAATTTACAAGAAAGAAAACCCAGAAAAGATCCAGTGGTTTTCAAAATTTAAGCAAAAAATCACATTTTTTTAATCATATTTTTATTTTTTTTAATTTAAAAATTAAAAATTGTGTTACTTCTTTTGTTAGCATATTGTATTTTGGTGCAGTTTCTGTTAGGTTTTGTGAAAGTTTTTTTGAAGTTTACTTGGCTGTTTTGATGTCTGATTTATTTATAGTTTCGTAATTGTGTATTTGTTTATTAATTTTCTAAGTAATATTTATTTGTATTAATTTATTTTTGATTTTCTGTAGAAGTAATGTCATGTTATTTTTGGTTTAATTCTTCTATTGGTGTTAGTCTATCTATATTAAATTTTATTTTGTTGTTTTTGTAGCATGTTAAAGTTATTTTCTGTTGAATTGCTCCAAGTATTAATTAAATACATATAATGCATGATATATGTATATGTATATATTGGTTTCTTCATTAACTTATTTCTTTTATTTTTTGATTTTTATAGTTATATATAAGTCCTTTTTTTGTTGTTTCATGTGAAATCATATATTCTGTTTTAGTTTACCATTTCTTAAAAGTGAGTTCTAATTGATGCATTCGAAAAAATTTATGATTCAAGTTTGGAAGATACGAAACTATTAATTCTTAAAGTATATTTTACTGTTATTTGTCAAGAGTTTGTAAAACATTTACCAGGGGAAATGTAGCTTTTAACTTTCTTTGCTCTTGCGTAATATTAGATAAAAGTGAAGGAAGTCAGTTTATTACTTCCGATTCTGGCAATCCAAAGTGGAATTTTAAAGATTTTCAAGAGGAATAAATTTGTTTTTTGATTGATTGCCTTGGAGATCGATTAAATATTTTATAACCGTTAAGTTATAAAAACCGTTGGAATAGCATTTCTGATAAACATTAAAATTTTATAGAAATAATTACAATAAAGTTTCTCTAAATGTGCTTATATTAATAATGTTTTTTTTAATAATGATTTTTTTCATTTAATGAAGTTTTAAATCTAGATCGCGAGTAATTTTTCGCTTTTTTGTAAAGAATTATAGTCTTAAATTCTTCTTTCTTCGCCTTAAATTACTTAAAAATAGTTGAAGTTATTTTATTACTTCGAACTTGCGAGAAATGTTCGGTAAAATTACAAAGTTTTTGAAACGAAAATAATCTCTTCTTTGGATTGATTCTTATCTAGAGATGTATATTCTACTGGCAAGTATTAGGAACGCTTTGATTCTTTTTCTTACTTCATATCAAATTAAGGATGAAGTTAAGTAGATAGTGTGATTAATGTAAGATTTTAGTTAAAAAATATGAAATTTTATTCAAAACTGCCTACTTTATAGTTCTACGACACTTACATCTCTGTTTCTGTTAATTTTATTACAGAAGAAATACAAGAAAAATAAATTATATTTTTTCTATTTGAAGGTTTCTTAGTAACTGGTTATAAAAAAAAGAAAAAAATAACTAAGGCACACGTGAATAATACTACAGACGCGTTTTGAAAGCTTCAAGAGTTTTACGTATTTTAAAAAATCCTCACGGAAACTAATGTTATTATAATGGTACAGCGTAGATGAGATTCGTATAGGAGGGGAAAAACTGGCATGAGTGGAGGGAAAAAAGACACGTTGTGCCAAAATGTTTTGCCAGTATACATATTAAGTTTGGGATGTCGATCATCCTCAAAAAAATGTGTCAGATGAAAAATATTATTAAATAATTCATAGCATATGCGAATACACGTAGATACTTTAAATATTTAACGTATTTTTATTTGTATCAGTTTTTAGATTTCTTTTTATACTTATTCCAGTTTTAAACATCATAATTTCATAACTTTTTATTTATATTGACTATTAACTTGCATATTGACATACCAACGTTGCAATCAAATTGGCATTATATTTATTTTTACGAAATCCTATAGAGAGGAGATTTATCTGTTATATATCTTCAGTTTGTAACTTTAAGTCTTCCAAGACGCAATATAAATTTTCTCTATAATGTAACTGAAATATGATTATGTAGTTAACCAAGTTCCTATATCGGTTCAGTAAGTTTTTTATCAAACAACGGCAAAACTTTGCAAAATTCATCGAAGGAGATAGAACTTATCGGTAGTTTTAATATTGTCATTTAAAACAAAGTTGTTTTCATTTTTATTTTGTTTTTTTTTGTAAGGAAATTGCAAGTTAAAATTTGTTATCTTATTATTTTGTAATTCTGTTTATTAAATAAGTTGCAAATATATCTGGTATTTTAATAGAGTGTAATTAAGTTTAGAGAGAAAATTGAGTTGAAATAAAAAGTCATTTTAAACTGACAAAACCTTCAATGTAAAACGAATATTAAAAGCTCTGTTCTCGTTATCATAATATATCATCATTTTCCTCTATAACGTTGTTACCTACGAGAGTATCTAGTACGCTGTAATAAATTTTAGTATGAGCTAATTTATCAATTAGCTGCTCTAAATAGAATGAACAGCCATCAAATGAAGACAAACGATTATTTTCCAGGTTTAATTTATTTATTTTTATATTTTAACTAACTTGCTACTATAATACATTTTTCAAATACCTTTCTATTACTAACTGGTTAATTATTACTGGTTTAACTTGTACCTCGGTCTTGTAGAACTACGTTCGAACTCTTCTTATTATTTTGTTCGCGGGAATGACTAATGTTCCATTTCTTGAAAGATTAATGTTCTGACGTGCCAACTTATTTAACTTAAAAAGAAACCAAATCTAAATTATATTAAGTAATATACTTAGTCCAAAAGTTTAGATTATATGTGGCCATTAGTTAACTGCTGGTAAATATTCCATTTATAACGACGTCATAGATGCTATTTTGATATATAATTAGTAAAGATAAATTTTATTAATCTGAAAATGCTTTTTAAATTAATTTTTAATTATTAAATATCTAAATAAGTAACATTAATTAATTCATTTTAACTATCGGGACACTTTTCTTAATTACAAATTAAGTAACGGTTTAATGACAAGATTGAAACTAAAAAGATTTTTTAACAAAATTATTATTAATGGAACTTCTAAAGAAGATGGCTTGAGGTTTAAGTGATTTAATGATTTCATAATAGCTTTAATTCCTGCCTGTTAAGGGGTTGATTTTTAGATTTAATAAATACATTCAGTAAAACTCTTAAGAAAATTATTTATCCTTTCACTTAAATCCGAAAACCTAAGTAAGCCATTACTGTCTTGCCTAAAGTATATTTTAAAATTGATTTTTGAAAACAAATTAGTGCTTGTTGTAAACGTGTTATGAAATACTTTTTTAAAATTTGGTTACAGTATCGGAAATTGTGCTATGAAGTCGCCAAAAATAAAATATTTAGAAGTTTCTATTCGATGTGAAAATAAACGGTTCTTGGCATGAACCCCAAGGACTTTTCGGATCATTATTATGGAGGGTGGAAAACGGGAATATCGTATAAATTTTACAATTAGTTTGTATAAAGCTCAGCGAGCTAAGAATGGAAATCTGTCACTGGATTTAATAAATTTCCGACCATTTTTCTATTACTGTTTACATTCCCTTAAAAAGGAAATTCCTATTTTAGTAATCATAAATAATATGATAATTTTTCAGCTTTGATTCAAACTCTAGGTAATAAGTTGAGTAAGTAGTATAAATTTTATCTGATTAAAAGAAGTATGTTCTGGATTACAGTTAAAGGTTGGAACATTTGGCGTTACAACAGTAAGTTAAAATACTAATTTACCACAATATATCAAAATACTTTTATAAACACTGGGCGCGCCTTCAAATTAAAAACCAATCACAGTTTTAATCAATGTTTAATCTTCTTTAATCATCCAATGTTTAAAAAAATGTTTTGGTGTATTGTGGTGAGTTCGTGTTTTCTTTTGCTATGTTCAGGGTTTTATAACAAAGTATCGTTAAAGTTAATAGCTTTAATTTAATTTTTCGATATTCTTAGTCAAACTAAAATATGAAACTAATTTATTTGGCTTGCCTTCCTTATCGGTAATAAGATTAAAAAAAGTCTTTTGAAAGAACCGGGAGACTCGGGGCGTAATTCTTCTGGATACCGGGAAATAATTAAAAAGTGAGAAAAATCTCAGGGGTTTAATGAAATCTATTTGTAATTTTCGTTTAACAAAAAAATAAATTCTTCTTCGTCTTTAAGATAATTAACTTTATTATATATTTCGCTTCGGGAAATAATTTGCAAGCTTTTTGGAATTAATGTTTTATTCGTTTTCTTGAGAAGGACGGGGGTAAAACATTCATTTTTTAGTTGTTCTTACCAGTTTTTTTTGATGTTTAATAAATTATTCCCTGGGCAATTCATTTTAGCAAGATTTATTTTGTGAGAATTTCGATGAACATTTTGTTTAAGATTCTTTTAATAAAAACTGAAGAAAATAAAACGCATATATTGCAATAAAAAAAATTATCTACTAAATTATTTAAACGGGTTTTAAAAATTTACTACCACACGATGCCGTTTTGATATATAATTAGTAAAATTAAATTATATTACTTAATTTTTCAGTAAATTTATTAGTAATTGTTAAAATAGTTTTAAATTGAGAATTTTTGTAAATATATTTTTAAATTATCATCTTATCTATATACATCTATATATTATCATCTTCTAATTGTATTATAAATCAAATATCTAAATAAGTAACAAAAATAAATTAATATGGAATGTCACTTTATCTAACGAAGAAAATATTCGACCAATGTGTATTACCAGTGCATGCGAAACCTGGACTCTTAAATCGGACATTATAAGGAAACTGTAGGTCATACAACGGTCAATGGAACAAAATGTTGGGAATAACCAAAAAAAAAACCGTAAAAGAATACAGTGGATACGACAAAAGACCCAGGTAATTCGGATGAAAATTTTCTAAATTTTCACCACCTATGTCTAACAATAGAGTGGGTTGTCCTCTCGCCTGACGTCGATTCCGAATTTTCTAGATTTATGGATACCTTGTCTAATCTGGCGTACAAGGCGTTTCCTCTTAGGCCTATCAAAAGTAAACAAGGTATACCCTGGTCTACTACAGGCTTGCGTATATCTGCAAAGAACATGCGCTCATTATCTCACCTTAAGAAATTCACGGACAGCGTCTTCTTTCATAATTACGTGAAACTTTATAGAAAGGTTTATCGTAAGACTATAAAAGCTGCCAAGGACATTTATTATAATGCGAGGTTAGCCAAAGCCGGTAATGTCGCTAAGGAGACTTGGGCTATTGTAAATGACTTAAGGAATAAGACTTCTTCGTCTGGCACAGTCTTTAATTCACCTGAAGATTTAAACACTTACTTTGTTAATGTGGCTAAAAATTTAGTGAACACCATAACTCCTTCCCATGATTCACTTTCATATCTCCCTAAAGCAAATGAGAATTTACACAGTTTCTTCCTCACGCCCGTAGTATTAGATGAGCTCCGTAGTACAATTAATAGTATTAAAAACAAATCCTCATCTGGGACTGATGGGCTTACTCTCAAAATGTTCTCTGAACTTCCTGAATGCACATTAAACCATCTTACTACTTTAATTAACGAGTCATTCCAAAAAGGAGTTTTTCCAAACTGTCTTAAGACAGCAATAATTATTCCTCTGTATAAAGGAGGTGATAAAGATGAAGCTTCGAACTATCGCCCAATTGCACTCCTGCCCACATTATCTAAGATCATTGAAAGATTGGTTAAAAAAAGGTTTCTATCTTTTCTCCTTAAATATAAAATACTTACTACCCATCAATTTGGATTTCTAAGTAACAGTTGCACAAATGATGCTATGTTCGACCTTTTTAATAATGTATACTCTAGCCTGAATAACCATCACTCTACAGCTACAATTTTCTGTGATTTCTCTAAGGCTTTCGATTGTGTAAATCATAATATCTTAATTAACAAATTGCAATACTATGGTTTCAGGGGAGTGCCGCTTGAATGGCTCAAGGCATATATTGGCAACAGAGGGCAGCTTGTGAGGATTGATACGTCTATGTCTTCTTATAAGCCTATATAATGTGGTGTCCCTCAGGGTTCAGTACTTGACCCTATTTTGTTTCTGGTGTTTATCAACGACATTGCAAATCTAGACATTAGCGGTAAAATCTGCGTCTTTGCGGACGATACTAGTTTCACTTGGAGCGGCCCAGATGTTGCGGCACTATATGATACTATATCCACTAACTTGCGCACCATTAAGTCTTGGTGCGATTCTAATCTCCTATGCCTCAACCTATCAAAAACTAAAGTTTTGTCATATAAAAGTACTATACAACCTTTTGTACTTAATAACACCACGATTGACGTCGTGGACTCTGTGAAATTCTTAGGATTTGTTGTAGACAACTCGTTAAAATGGGACTTTCACATCGAAGCTCTATCAAAGAAACTAAGCGCTGCCTGTTTTGCGCTAAAATCAATTTCTAAGGAATTTAACTTCACAACCTCTAGAATAGCCTATTATGCCCTTTTTGAGTCACATCTTCGTTATGCCCTTCCATTCTGGGGTACTTGCGCAACAAAATTTGATCGTGTTTTCAGACTTCGAAAGAGAGCAGTTCGATATTTATTGGGACTGAACAGTAGAACTCACTGCCAGAATTTCTTTAAAAATTTGAAAATACTGACTCTTCCTTCTTTATTCATTTTTGAATCCGTTTGCTTAATCCGCAAGCACATATCTGCTATTCCCGAAAGGCCATCTCATAACTATCCACTTAGGAATGCAGAGCACGATCTTTATCTGCCAACCCCGAGCTTAGAACTAGTTAAAGGTTCAATACTGTACAATGCCAAAAAAATGTACAATCATCTGCCTTTGAATATCAAGTCGCTTTCATTCTTTCCCGCATTTCGCAAAGCTCTAAAATCATACCTACTGGAGAGAGCCCTATATGCGGTAAACGACTTTTTTGTTGATGTTTAATTATGAACAATTTTGAATTTTAAAATTTTGATCATCTCACACACTGGTCAAAGGTCAAGTATTTAATATTTTATAACTCTATTTACTGCGTACTGTTCTAAAATTGTCCATGTATATTCTTTTTGTAATTTTAAAGACTTAATTTTTTTGAATCGTATTATTTGTATTGTGTATTTTTTTTGTGATTTTGTTGTTTGTGAGTGCTTTGTCGATGAAGCTGTTTTGGCTTTTTGTACAATAAAGCGTTGTTTGTTTTGTTTGTAATAGCTGTCATCGACAGAATCTAATCCCTCATGTGACAATGGGCAGGACATAGGCTTGACAGATGGATCACAAAATTACAGCTCCTAGAAGAAGACCAAACCTGAGCTGGGACAATGCTATTAGAAAATTAGCAGAGATAACTTGGGCTCGCGTAGCCAACAATAGACAACAATGAGCCTAACTATAAAGAGAGTATCTAAATATCTGAGGGAGGCTACACTATAAATCGAAATGGTTGAACAAGCTGAAAATGTTGATGACGATGAAGATGATAAATTAATTAAAGAGTTAATAATTTCTCATAAATAATTCTATAAATTAATTAATTATTATATTTAATTTCACTTAATAGAAGGAAATATTGATTTTACTAAAAATGTTTTATTATTAATAATTTATAAAATATTTATCTGAATTAAAATTATAGAATGTGCAGTAGTAATTAGTTACCTAACACGCAATTGTACATAATATGATACTCTTGGTGCTTTTTGTAAGTACTTTAATAATATAATTAGAAAAATTGAATTATCTATGTCCCAATAAATTAAGTAAATTGTAATTGTGATAATATTTCTTGCTGTACGTCCTCTAAAATATCTTAATTGAATAATCTGCCATTTTAGCAGCATTTCTAAAACTAAAGTTGTAATTTAATTCTAAAATGTGGAACTACAGTTCAGAGCATTACCCTAAAGACGTAAATACTTTTAAGATATGTACTGGGAAGTTCGGAGTTCATCCTGCCGCGAGAACTAGTATTTTCTTGCTATTTTCATTTTAATAAAAAGCTTTTTGCAGCTGCTCGATAAATGGTTCATCTTTAATTAAAAATTTAACGAAAATATCATGTTCCTTTCTGTATACAACTAATTTTATTAAGCAAAGCTTTTAGTTGATTTCTTCAGAGTCAGATATGTTTTTAAAAATGATTCTGTAAAAATAAAATAAACTGAAAGGAGCGAATTTAATTAAATATACGTATAAAAAGGCTTTTAAAAATCCGCATCGATATTTAATATTAGGTATTGAAAAGTTTTTTATGTAAATTGATCACATGTAGGTTTGCGGACTTGAGAAAATCCGATATCTTGTTTGATGATTTATCTCACTTTCGTGATTGTTTTCCTTGAATAATATTTCTGAAGGTGTTAAGCGGTTAACTCGATGTAGAAAAGTTTTTCATTTAAACTTTCCCCCTTTTCTTACACGTGTTTCCAAGATAAAACACTTTACTATGCATTGCATAAGTCTATATGAATATCTGAAAGCTCCGAATAAGAAACTTAATTGGTTCTGATGAAATACATAGTGTTAAAATATTAATTATATCAAGTTTATTTTGTGCCTAAATTTGTAAAGAGATTTTCCTTAGTTTTAAAATACCAATTTTTTTTTATTTAATAAAGATTAAAATATGAAATAAAGTCACTTGATTGTAATTGCGTGATAAAATAAGATACATAGTATATAAATCTGATTTAAAATCATCTAAACCTACCGTTGAACGGCGGTATAAATTTAAGGAAAATTATTGGAATTGTGCAGAAATCCATTGTATTCTACAATATATAGTTAATCAATACTACATTAATTACAATTTGCTACTAATTAAGAGATAATGTAATTTATTGGTATATATTATCCAAGGTGCTTTATTCACAAAGTACTCTATAACACTAGGAGCTCTGTTTAATACCATAACGATCTACGCTTTAATTTTTTTTAAATATAGGGTCACAAAAGAGGAAAGGACAATTTATGTACAAGAAATCTTTATTTGCAAAATAAAGAAAAACTTTTATGTTATTTATTGCTAAGATTTCATCTGATATTTCGTTCATTTTCTTTTTTACTTAACTCATTTATTATAAAAGCTGTTAACCTGCTTAGCATACTAAATAAGGCATTTTACCTTTGGCACAACCTCTTGACAAATAACGAATATTTTCCTTAAAATTGGCTTTATTTATATTGACTTAGTATTCTCAAATTCGTTGAATTTAGTGTATAATACATTTTTACTTTTTTAACATAAATTTAAATTATATAATTTTTAAGCTTTTTAAAATATTAATTAATAATTTGTGTTACTCGATTTTTAGGAAGTTTATTAGTAATTGGTGATAATAATTTTCTAATAAAGAATTTTGTTAAATACTATTTTTAAAATTATCATAATATTTAATTATATGATTTACATCTTCTGTCTTGTTATATAAATGAAATATCTAAACAAGGAACAATAATAAATTAATACAAGAAAATTAGATACAAAAACAGACAACAAGTTTTAAAACATATTTAGAAATATATCTCAAATAATATTATAAATTAGATATTTATTTTAGTTTATTTTCATTATTAATAATTTATAAAATACTCATCGGAATAGGTTAAAATAGGTTCAGTAAGAAAGAACTGCGCCACTTTGATATGCATCGCAAGTAAACTAAGCCTGACTTATGCAAAGTTTGTATTGTGGAGCGATGTAGATGCCAAAATATTTTGATAATAACCTCAGTAACTTGGAAGCCGCCGCTCGAGCATGAGAAAGCAAGGTGCCCCGATCACACAGGCATGCGGGTGTGGATACACTTGCTCATAGAAATTCTGTAACAAACCGTTGAAATGTTTGTCATGTAACATGTATAAATAAACCTAACTAGGAATATTTTTAGGTAATGTCTATACTTCTGTTGAGGAGTTTGTATTTTCTTACTGAAAAGAGTACTTGTTTTTTACAATACATAGGTTAAAAATTATTATCTAGAGATGTTATAAAAATAAATAAGAAAACACCTGACAAAATGTTTCCTTAACTATTGTTTATTTTCTTATATAGAAACATTACCTTACCAAACTTCAGTGGGTGATACAGTTAAACATAAGAAAAAGGTTCATATAAGCATATGCCCTAAGAAGCGTCCTATAAACATATGCCTTAAGAAACTTCCTGAGGAAGTTACAGCTTTTGAAAAACCTGGAGAAGCTGAACAGATTAGGCAAAAATAATACAGATCTTCTACACCAGTAGTTAGAGTGCCAACCCCCAGGGGATAGAAAGCAATGAAAAAGCAAACGATCTAAATAGAAAAGAAGCAAACACTAGCTAACTGAACTAGAACCGTTCTGCTTCCCAAGTTCAAACCAACTTAAAGCTGAACTCAAGAACCTTGAATACTTCATCCGTAATCTGGAATTGGAATCCTTTAAAGGTCTAATAATCACAGCTAAAGAAAAGTGGATTTCAGAGAAGTGCGTTGAATTAGAGGACTTACAAAAGAAACACGACTCATTTACATTACACAAAAAAATAAAAGAATTAACTGGACCAGCACAACGTTTTTGTCCTCTAACAATTATTAACTCAGATGGTACACTATGTTCAACCGTACAAGAAAAAATACAAGTATGGGAACAACACATGAAAGAACTTTATAATGACTATAGAGAAGAACCAACAGTAAGACCAACGGTTGATCAGGGACCAGAAATTCTCAATAGTGAAGTATTGCAGGCAATTAAACAACTTAAAAACCACAAAAGTCCAGGCCTTGACAATATATATCCAGAAATACTTAAATTAATATCAGAAGAGAACGTAGATATACTGACTAGGCTTTTTAACAAGATCTATGATAGAGGAAATGTACCTGATGACTGCCTCCACTCAACTTTTGTACCGCTTCCGAAAAAACCATCAGCTCGACATCTCAGTGACTACAGACTTATTAGTTTAATGAGTCACGCACTGAAAGTGTTACTTAAAATAATACATAACAGAATTTATAAGAAGTGTGAGCAAGAAAGCGGCTATGAACAGTTTGGGTTTAAGAGTGGATTGGGAACACGAGAGGCCTTATTCTGTTTACAATTGATGGTGCAGAAGTATACAGACCAACAAAAACCAATGTATGTGTGTTTCGTAGATTTCGAAAAAGCATTCGATAGAGTCAAACATACGAGACTTATCAAAATGTTGTATGAGTTGGGAATTGACAGCAAAGATGTAACATTTCTGAAAAATATATATTGGCAACAAACAGCCCACATTAAAATTGAAAATGACAATTCCAATTCGGTCAATATACAGAGAGGAGTTTGGATGTGTGCTGTCTCCTTCGTTATTTAATGTTTATTCTGAGGCGATTTTTCTGGAAGCTTTCTCTTCAACAGATTGCGGTATTAAAGTCAACGGCGAAGTCATTAACAACATTAGATTTGCCGATGACACAGTTCTTATTGCCGACTCTGATACTGGTCTCCAGAGTTTAGTGGAACGACTTGAAGGCTCCTGTAAGAAATACGGGATGAAGATCAATTCTCTTAAAACTAAGTCATGATATTTGGAAAGAACCAAAATGTACCAATTCCTATTAAAATAGAGGGCAATACCTTAGAACAGGTCTACAAGTTCAAATATTTGGGGTCCTGGATAGTTAAAATCTTGAACAACTACGTGGAAATAAAAACCAGAATAGAACAAGCGAGAAATGCATTTTTAAAAATGAAGAACGTCTTCCAGAACCCCAGATTGGACCTTGAGTGAATTTAACTAGGCTCGTTAAGTGTTATGTTTGGTCAATCTTATTATACGGAACAGAAACATGGACACGGAAAGTTCAAGAGATGAATCGCCTCGAATCGTTCGAAACATGGATATATCGAAGAATGCTTAAAATTCCATGGACAGCCCATATCACAAATACCGAAGTCTACAACAGAATAGGCAGAGAAAGAGAAATGCTCAATATAATAAAAATAAGGAAAACATCATACTTAGGGCATATATTGCGAAATGAAAAATACCACGTCTTACAATTGATAGTTAAGGGTAAGATTGAAGGAAAGAGAGGTCTCGGCAGGAAGAAACTATCTTGGTTGAGAAACATCAGAAACTGGACTCACCTAACTTTTGAAGAACTTATAAGGAAAGCCGAGAATCGTGAAGATTTTGCCAATGTGATCGCCAACCTCCACGAAAGAGACGGCACGTAAAGAAGAAGAAAGGTCTAAGACACCCGAAAAAATGTCTCAAAACTTACAACCGAGAAAAATCAAATATTTTCCTTGATTTAAATAAGAACAATCTTCGGATTAAGACGGTTTTTTAACAGTACACTGGCTTCTCACCGAACATCTCAGTATATTGAAGCAAAGAAACAACGGCAAATGAAGATTATGTGGGCAAAATGGGGAAACACCAGAACACCTCATCATTGAGTGCGCCGAGACGACAACCATTGGTGCCATGAAGTTTGGTACGACTGATATCGGAGATGGAAAACTAACTTATGTAAAACCGTCTTAGATACTGGTTTTTGTCAAATCCCTGATTGTATGATGGGTTATAACTCAAGAAAAGGGGCACAATAGATCTGTGAAGTCGCGAAGACTAACCCCACCCTCATTTTATATCACTTACTGAAGTTTGCTACCCTATTTTTTTATATTTTGTATGTGTCTAAATATATATTAGAATTGGCAAAAAACTTAAAGTAAATAATTAAATGCATTAATAATATAAGAGTAATCTTGTTTAAATGTAATATATTAATGTATATTCTTGCTTTCTACAACAGGAAATAAAATGGTTTGTGTTTAACGAAAGTTTACTATCGTGATTGCGATAACATTCAACACATTTAAATAACAATTGCACATGCGGCGAAAAAAACTCCGTGCTAGTAAGCTTAGCGACGCTTAAAAGCATTTATTTCATTATTAAATGCTATTTTTGAAAGCATATTCGCGAGAATTGAATCCTAAAATGCACAGTTGTCCAAGAATCCGTTTTAGTCGTTTGTTTCGTATGTAGCATAAAGAGATTTTAATAATTCGCATGGTTGTGCTCAAATCTAACAGGAAAACAATAATACTTCACTTTTTAATTTAATTGTAATTGAAAGCTTTTTTCAGTAACTCAAAAAATATTTTAATGTAGAAAAAATAACATTTATTTTTTGTATTTTATTGTTATTATTTATTGAAAGATAAAGCTAAGCCATTTTTTAACCAGGCCAAACTGGATCAATGTAAAGTGTCAAACTTTGTCATGATAATGCGCGCTTGCACAACCCCATTTTAACGGGAACTAGTCCAGATAAATTATACCAGGACACGCTATCTCGTACTCCGCATAGTTCTGATTTGTTTCCATGTGACTAGCATCTCTTTGGGTCATTAAAATAATTCTGCAAGATGAGGCGGTCCAACAACACGCAAGAGAATAAAATCAAATTCATTAGCTAAATTAGAAGAAGTACTCAATGCAAAATAAAAGCAAATAATTTCTTTTTTACGGTCTTTTTTAGTTTGACACACTTTTTTTCTTAAAGGCATGGGTAGGTAAGTTTTCACTTTAATTTTTTACAAGTGGATATATTAGCAGGATTATATTATGGGAATTTAGACTCAACTAAAGGAGACAAAATAGATCTGTGAGATTGCGGTGATCCTCCCATTCATTCTACACTCTACATCCTATTGTCAGTCACTTCAAAGTGGATGGAATTTGTCTATCAGTAGACAACGAAGTAAAGAGTCTAAATGTATTATACCGTATGATCGAATAAAAACGGCGTCAACGATGGCTATGAAGTGAAGATCGCTGTCATTTTATATGTAAAATTATATGGGAAATATCATTGATCGTCATTTCATAGCCATCGCTGACGCCGTTTTTATTCGATCATACGGTATATTTTTGAACTTTAATATTATGATCCGTATTTATTTTTTTATATACAAAATGACATAGATTATAGCTTGATGGAATAGTGATTTTTTTGTAAAATATCTTCTAAATATACGATATAAAATTTTGGGACCAAAATCCTTTTTCATTGTGTGATTGAATTATTTTCTTGATATAATATTAAAAAACTGTTTTACCTCAAAAACAATTTTCTCAATAATACTCTGGAATAACGTGGATAGGATCCCTGAATGTATTTTGTTTTATCGAAATTTATCATCATTTTTATTTAATTTTCTCAAAAATGTTTTGTGCAAGACAAGCCGTGGGAAGAAAGAAAAAAATTAAAAAAATACAAAATTTTTCAAATTAAAAGTAATCAAATAAGGCGGATGTAAGTTTTAAAATAAAAAAGTTTCATTTATGGCTAATTTTGTTTAGCAAGATTTAGTGGTAATTTTCGAATACGTCAAGTAAATTTTTTGATTGGCCAGAAAAAAAGTAAAAAGTTAGCCTGAAAGGAAACTTTCCATAATTGGCGAACTTTTCTGTTGTTGTGAATGTTTAGAAGCCGGTACAAAACCTCAATGCCGATGATTTATCATGTTTTGAGGAAAAAAGGCCTATACCTGACTTTCGATTTGATTTTACCTTATTATCAGAAGATCTCAACTTTTTACGGACTCCTTTCTTTAACTTTTGTAAAGAGTTTAAAATTTCTCTAACTTAATTTTAATTTTTGTATTTATTACTGAATTTTTTCTCTTGATTTCTATATAGACTTATTTTTAGGTAGATATGTATGGCAAAAATATATATGGCAATTTTACATTAGTAAATGTCCGGTATAAATTTATAAATTATTATTCAACAAAATAATTAGTTAGCAGTAGATACACAGCTGATGATTACATTTAAAATTAATATTAGCTTTTAATTAAATTAATTCAAATAAAAACTAATAAAATAACCAACAATTAAACAATGAAAAATCGGTTTACTCTCAAATTCCCTCGGAACTATAACTTAAAAGATCTTAAAATTACCAATAAAATGACTATGTTTTACGGAATAAAACTAGAAATCTTCAGGCAAAAGAAAGACTATTAATATAATTGATTTTTGTTAATTGGAAATTTGAATCATCGACTGAATTATTCAGCGCACTAAATTAAAACTCTTTTCTTTTAATCCGCATTTACAAGTTTAAAAATAATCTTACTATACAGAGTCCGGCAATAGTGCGTCGGGCATCTGTAGCTCCAAGAATAAAAAACTTGAGAATTTTGTTTAAGTGCAAACCTAAAGTATGTACGGGGATGTACAGGGTGGCGCCTCTCATACGCCGCGGAGGCTCCAAGGAGAACGACAGTTTGTATTGAAATGAAATTTTGTAAGCATATGTACGTTAATTCAGAGCAGTTTTTAAAAATATAGAGAGTTCTACAGGGTGTTCCCAAAAAAAATTACATATCAAAGTTGTGTTTTTTGTAATGGAACACCCTATATATTAATTGATTTTCGGATTCTGGGAGAAAAATAAAGCTGAGTTTTATAAGCGAAATATATGACTAAAATGTAAGGTTTTTGACATATTTAACATTTTCTAGAAATAAAGAACAATTTTTTAAATTACAATAAAAGCTACCTAAATTGGAATTTAGCCGGTATAACCTGTATATGTAGTTAAATTAACTATTGTACTTTAAATCAAATTAAAACTTGATCCAAAAAGTTATACAGGGTGAAACAAAATTAATATTGAACATTGGTCACCTTTAAAAGCATGTTACTGTCTTATTTTAAATGGAACACCCAGTATATTATTCCGATATTTAATGAAGAATTCATATCTCTTCAAAATACTATTAAGGTTGCCTACCCCTCAAACAAAGATTTTCCTAGATATTTTCATTTACATGATTTGATCTGAGTAGATCTTTATGATTTGATAAAATCTAGGTGGCTGTGACATGTCTGACGTTACTTCAACATAGCTGTCTAACTAGTCCAACTTTAACAACTAGTTATAATTTTTTGTCAGTTAAAACAAAAAAAATTCTCAGGAATTTGCCGAAAATGCAAACTTATCTTACATCAGAGAAAATTGATATGATTCTATTAGTTGGATGCAGTGTGCATTCATCAGTTAATAGAATACTAAAATGCTCCTGATTTTATCTACTCTGGTTTTTTTATGGGGATATAAAGACAGTGTTTAAAAAACTCGTGTCGACCACATGAGATAAATTATTGTAGCTGCTTTTCGAGGGAGAACTCCACATATGTCTTTTAAAATGAAAAGATACTTTTGAAAAGACATTATTTTATGCAGTTAACAGGAAAGGAAGCATTTTGAGCATTTGATTTCATCTAGCTAATTTTTGTCGCATAATTATAGGTTTATATTTAGTTTTAATTCTGTAATAATTAAAATATGTTTTAAACGTATATTTTTTTATTACCCTTGAGTATTTTACTCCACAATCTTTAATTTTTGTTAAATTAACAAAAGGTATATCACACAGCCACCTAGATTTTTTCAAATAATAAAGATTTACTGACGCAAAATCATAAAAATTAAAATATCTAGGGAAATCTTCGTCTGGGGGGTAGGCAAACTTAATAATATTTTAAAGATATATAAATTCTCCATTGAACACTGGAATAATATACTGGGTGTTCCTTTTAAAATAAAAGAGTAACTTGCTTTTAAAAGTGACTAATGTTCCATATTAATTTTGTCTTACTCTGTATAACTTTTCGGCTTAAATTTCAATTTGGTTTAACATACAATGGTTACTGTAATTAAATATCAGGCTATACAAGGTCAACTAAAATTTAGGTAGCTGTTATCGAAATTTATAATTTACTCTTCATTTTCACTAAATGTGAAATATGTCAAAATCCTTAGATTTTAGGTATATGCTTCTTTAAAAAAACTCACCTTTATTTTTTTTCTAGAATCCGAAAATCAATTAATATATAGGATGTTCCATTAGAAAAAACACAACTTTGATGTGTAACTTTTTTTGGGGACACACTGTATAATTCTATAAATATTAATGCATAAATTAAAAAAAATGCTTTCAGTTAACCTACATATGCTGCCAAAATTTCATTTCGATATAAACTACCGTTCTCCTTGGAGCTTCCGCGGCGTATGAGAGGCGCCACCCTGTATTTCAGGAAAATATTTTAATTTCTATGGCGTGGCTCAAAAAAGTGTGAGTGAATCAGGATTATTTTTTTTAAAAGTACACCCTGTATATTATTGTATTTTTGGCTTCCTTTCAGATCACTGTACATAATCCTAAGATATGAAATTTAAAAGATTAATCGACTTACCTGAAGGATGATTAATCATAATTTTCCGAGCTTGTCCGAAGATATAATTACCCAACCCCCCCTATATACCCCAGATCGTAGGCAATTTTTTTAGACACTTCAACGGAATGACAACACAGGCAGCGATCGAACCGGGCCACAGATCAAAAAAAACTCCAAAAAAGTTCGTGCTGATGAGTAGGTTTATTCGGAAACTACATGGTAATTATATCTTCGGACAAGCTCGGAAAATTATGATTAATCATCCTTCAGGTAAGTCGATTAATCTTTTAATTTTCCTTCGCTTGTCCTTGATATAATTACCATGTAGATGTTCAAAGTCAAAGGCAATTTTTTATTTTTTATAACCATATATTGATATAATTAATTATTATCATAAGATATTAACTTCTCTAACAATTACTTATTGTAAGAACTATAAGTTCTAAAATTTAAAAATATATTTTTTTTTTTTTTTTTTTGAACTTTAGAAAACTTTACTTTGGAAATTATATTTTTTATATTTTTACATATTTACTAATAAATGATTAACATAAACTCTGAGTTTATAACTAACTACTGAGTATATAATGTAAAGAACTTAACTTTTAACTTATAACTAATAGAATGAATATGATATATTGATAACACCTAAATAATAATAAAAAAATACTTAATACTACTAACAGTAGAACACTACGATTTATTAGAACCCAATTCAATAATGGCTTTGGCAAATTTATCTTGAGGTTTTTCTACAGGTCTATTATAAAAACTAAAGAAGGTGTTCGAGGCAGGAGTCCAGCCTGCTGTATTTTTAATTATCTCTATATTTACGCCTGCTTTATACGCAGCCGAAGTTGTAGCGTGACGTACACTATGGGCTGAAAAAATGGACGTATCTACGCCACCTAAGTTTAAAGTATTTTTAATCCACCTGCTTATTGTCTGAGAAGATGCTGAACGGTGTGGTTTTTTATGGGTAAGAATTAGTTTTTCTTCGGTATTGCGTATTGGTTTCGTTCTTTTAATGTAGTCCGCAATGGTGGACGCAACGCAAAGTTCTTGTTTACTCTTAAAAAACGGAAAAATTAGTAGCGGTTGGAATCTGCCTGGAGCGGATGTTTTTACTCTATCTGGTATTTTAATCTCAACTCTGTCTACCGATATATTAATGTTTTGAACTTTAATTAGAGAAAGAGTCTGAACTCTGCTGGCTGATGTCAGTGCCATAAGAGTGACTAGTTTATAAGTTGCGTATTCTAAATCTAACGCCTCTAGAGGATATAATGTACCTAGGTATTTTAATAGAGGGTCTGGATCCCAAGTAATCTTATATTTAGGTCCTGGTGGTCGAATATTAGACACTCCCTTCACAAAACGATTAATTACTTTTTCATCATTATTACTTATAGGACTAAATATCAAATTAAGAGCTGATCTATAAGAATTGACGACAGAAAATGAAAGACCTTCTTTTAAGGCATCGGATAAAAAATCCAAATATGTTTCTAGCTTATAAACAAGAGGATCCCTGTTACTGTCAGCACAAAATTGCCAGAATTTTTTATAACAAGATGTGTACTGTTTAAGTGTTCCTTTTGATATAGATGCCTCGATTATTTCTATTGCTGTCACTGGAACCCCCTTTCTTATATAAGCCTGCCGGATAATTTCCCTACTACCAGGGAAATCTCCTCGTGTAGTGGGTGGTAGTCTCTGAAAGGAGAGACAAGTAAAAATTTGTTTGCTTTAAAATAAATAGGTTTCTCTAATAACAACTTAGTGAACAGGGGATACCATGCCTGTGTAGGCCAATAAGGTACTACTACAATTCCTAATCCCTTTTCCTGAACAATTTTTTCTAAGACCCTAGTAATTATTGAAAAGGGGGGGAAAGCGTAAAAGAAAAATTCTGACCACCTTATTGTGAACGCGTCAACCTTCCATGACTCAGGATCTGGAAACCAGGAAACAAATTTATTGCACTTTTTGTTAATTCTAGTTGCAAATAAATCTATTTCCGGAGAACCAAATCTCTGTATAATTTGATTATATACAGTGTCATTTAGCTCATATTCAGTATTAATTGAGAAAAATCTTGATTCTCTATCTGCCTCAAAGTTAGCAGATGAACTAATATAGCTAGCGAATACTATAATACACTTCTTTTCACACCACTGCCAAAGAGCTTTTGTAATATTATCTAAATATGAGTATTTAACACTTCCACCTCGATTAATACACGATATTGCCGTTTGATTATCAATTCTTAATAAAATGGAAATATTTTCTTTGTCTTTAGCAAGTGATCTCAAGGCGAAATAGGCGGCTTTGATTTCTAAAAAATTAATATGTTTTACCTGCTCTTTATTATTCCAGAAACCGTGACATCTGTGACCGTTACAAAACGCTCCCCAACCCGTCTTGGAGGCGTCTGAAAAAATTTCAAGTGAGAAATTTTTAGATTTTATCGATTGACCTAATCCTATATTATTGTGCCACCACTCTAATTCATTATTTAAAGAGGTTGGAATATGCATCTTTTTATTATAATTGTAATAGTCTCCTCGCAACAAAAAATGTTTAATTTTTTCAAACTGCTTAATATGAATAAAACCATATTTTGTTGAAGGACAAGATGCTACAAGTTTGCCTATTAGTTGGGCAAATTCCCTAATTGTGCATTTCCTTTTCTTCCGTAAATTTAAAATCAAATTTTGAATGGCTTTACGTTTTTCACCAGGAAGTGAAATGGTCATTTTATTAGTATTATATATAAACCCTAAGAATCTAATAGTTTGTTGAGGTATTAACATACTTTTTTTATTATTTATTATAAATCCTAATTTGGCTAGTTCTGAAAGAACTATTTTCGTGTATTTTTTACATTCATTTTTATTTTTACCTATAATAAGAATATCATCTAAATAAAATACAGTACTTATTTCCATAAGACGCAGTTTTTTTGTTAACGGTTTCATAAGTTTAGTGAAAATATATGGTGCGATGTTAAGACCAAATGGTAAACAACTGAACTGATATAGACGATTTTCGAAGCGAAATCGCAGGTATTTTCTGTACTTTTTATTAACTGAAATTAAATAATATGCATCCTTTAGATCGATATTTGAAAGGTAGCAATTTTTATTTATAAGTTTTATTACAGTTCTGTAATTCTCTAATTTAAAATGAGGAGCAAATAAAAATTTGTTAAGGCTTTTTAAATTTAAAATAAACCTATAACAGCCAGAGGGTTTTTTAATTATAAAGTAAGATGATATAAATTGTCCTATTGAAGAATGACACTCTTCGATAGCACCTATTTCTAACATTTGCTGAATGGATTTTTTATACTGGGGTAAGAGTTTGTCAGAGATTTGTACAGAGGGCTCAAAATACTGTACAGGTTTTTTAATAAAAGGTATTTTAATACCTGTGACCCAGTCTAAGACCGCTCGGTCTTTCGTAATATGTTTCCAACTCTGTAAAAATCTCGAAAGTCTACCAGCGCAATTACTCACATCTTCCTCCATATCTATTCCTGGCGATGGTATTTCCTGGGGACTTTCTTGTGATACTTCTGATATCCTGATGGCTTCTTTTCTTCCCTCCTCCTTTTTTCCTTCATTTTCTCTCTGGGAGGCCCACGCCGGTAGTTTAAATGATACATTGATGTATTTATTGATGGTCTTGAAAATTTAGTTTGCCAATTCTTCTTTTTAAAATCAGCACTGGCCTTTTTTATGATTTGTTCATTTTTCATTGTATCTGCAAATTTTTTATTAAATAAAAAATCATCTATTTCCAGACTGTCCACGACTTTTTTGCATTCCGGATTTAAATGTGGTATGATTTTAAATCTACGGTGAACTGAAAGTCCATGATGAACGTTAGTGAATAATTGGCAGGCCTCTGCCAATGATTTCATGTTATCTACTTGTTCTTTGTTAGGCATCATAGCCTCAATGACTGTCCCTATTGCTGATAAGCCATGAGCCAATTGTTGTTGTAACGCTGAGATAAAACGATCATGGTCAAGAACCGACTTATTTAGGCAAGGTTGTACTTCATTATTTATCTGGGGAGGATGAAGAGCTTTGCAATTTGCAGGCACCTTATACTTTAACATTAATTCTTCTCGCTGTTCTTTAGATAGCCCTTTTTTCAAGTGGCTGTGCCAGCGAACAACAATTTCTTCATGTAAGTCTTTGCCTTCATTGTCCCCTGAGTCTGGTCTTAAACCTAAAGCGTCAAAATATTGATCAGAATTTTCTGGTATTTCTGTATCTACTACTGTGACGTCTGGGGCTGGAATATTTGGAATATCAGAGGTAGCCTCCGATTCTGAAAAGAAAACATGACATCAAAGTCCTATTCAAGTGATGAAATCGCCTGATTTCGTTTCTTAGGAGCAACGCACGTTGCCCTAAAAACATTTTATTTATATTAAATAAGGATGACATGAAAAAACCGCACGGTTTTTCAGTCTTTCAGTGAAGATACCAGCTGACAAAGTTCTATTCAAATGAGATCGCCTGATCTCATGTTATATAATTGCTTGTTTATATAAGAAATCGCCCGATTTCAATTTTAGGAACAACGCACGTTGTCCTAAAAACATTTTATTTATATTATATAAGGACGACATGAAAAAACCGCACGGTTTTCCTGTCTCTCAGGGAATATCGCACGATATCCCTGCCTAAATTTCTCCTTGTTATCTGACAACTCTTCATTAAGCTAAAAAGAAAAAAAAAACGTACCTGATGTTGAAAAAACTTCAGAAGATGATTCACTAGAGATCACACAAATCTTATTTAAATGTTCTTGCATTTCTCTAAATTGCTTTTTTAATCTCTTTATTTCACCGTATTTGTCCTGGTCCTTGTCTTTAAATGGTCTTTTCGGCATTTTTCTTTTTAATTTTCGACACACGCGATTTGTTTACAGTCGTCGCTGACGAGCACGAAAACGGAATGACAACACAGGCAGCGATCGAACCGGGCCACAGATCAAAAAAAACTCCAAAAAAGTTCGTGCTGATGAGTAGGTTTATTCGGAAACTACATGGTAATTATATCAAGGACAAGCGAAGGAAAAATTATATTTTGATGGTTTTACAGATATTAATAAATAAATAAAAAATATTTATTTTTTAGTCTTTCTTAAAAAAATTATTACAGGTACAAGAAATGTCCTGAAATCAAAATTATATTAGGTATTTACTTTAGATGGTCTGTACTTACTTTGCTATAAATATGGTACTCGTAAATTATACAGGGCGTTCAAAATTCTACGCTAAACTTTTTGATATATAAAATAATTTTTCTTTTTTTTTTTTAATGGAACACCCTGTATATTATTTTCTTATTAGATAGAGAGTTAAAAAATTAACATTTATTGTATTTAAAGTAGTATTCCAAAATTTTGAATGGTTTTATGGCATGAAAAATGCCATATGAAATATAAAATCGCGAATATCTGCATAACCGGTAAAAATTTTGAACTATTCTAAATACAAAAATGTTCATTTTTTAATTCTCCATCTATTGAAAAAACAATATACTGGGTGTTGCCATTTTTATGTCGAATGTTAAAAGGTTGATATTTATTATTTAAATACAGTTTTTTTTTGGAAAAACTACCCATTGCAAAACAAACACGAACGTTTGAGAGAGTTAAATGCTTTGCCAAGTTCCGCAAAAACCTCAAAACTGAAGCACCGCTTTTTTTGGTGCGGTGTTTCGTAGTTTGGCTTTATATATCCGGTGTGCCCGCTCATAGGATAATGTTTTATTTATGACCGAGCAAACGTTAAATGTCAAAATATTATAGTGGGAAATCTGAATATAATTCAATTTTTTCTTATGTGCGCTTGGCTCGCCAGTAAATAAATAGTTCTTGTGTCCTGCTGTTAAATCAGTTTATCTCGTCCATGGTAAAGCATACGTACATGCTTTAGAAATGAATGAGTTGCAGACAAACAGAATAAAATAACCAATTAGGGTATAGTTAGTCAGAGTTTGCAGTTCTGACAGGCGGGGGAAATGTGAAAACGTACTAAACGTACTATTTTTTGCGGGTGTTTTAGTTTGTTTCACAACCATTTTGTGCAGTGTATAACGCGGCCTATTTTTTATGAAACGAAAATATTCGTTATAATTAACGTATATATGTTTAACACGTTTTTACACTCTTTTTTCATTAAAAGTGGCACGATTCTATTTTTTTTAACATTACGTCTGAGAAAAAAATACATAAAAAATTAGCAATTTTTCCTTTTTTTTTTCATAACATAAAAACCATAAAAATTAGCGATTTTGATCAAGTCAATGATTCATTTCTATGTATAGAAAAAAAATTAGATGCCGGTTTGGCTTTATGAAAATTTTAAGAAAAGTCATTAAAGCTTTAGCCATCTTCAAAAATCATTCAGACACAAGGAGTAAACATTTTTTTCTCAAAATCAAAGCATTTAAGCTCTAATATATTTATATTTATTAAATTTACATACAAGTTCCTACAAATGCTAAATATTTTTAACATTTTAGAGCTACATTTACTGTTTTTTCTAATGGCTTTGAATATATATAAAATATAGCCAAAAATGGGCCATTTTTTCGACTTTTTCCATACATATACTTATGAAAATTGGCGATTTTGGTTATGTCATATAAGATAACCCGCCTATTTAAGAGTAAACATATTTGATTAAATTCAAAACATTCAGTTTTAGGACACTCTGTAAATTATTATTGATTTTTAAAATATTTATTCGTAAACTAGGGAGAGGGAAATCAGACAACGCACAGAGATGATAGGTGTTAGGTAATTGTTTTTAGACTACCGTTCGAGACGGGTTGATGTTATTTTGTTGTGTGTTTTGGTAATTGTGAAAAGGAATGTTATTAAAGGCTCAATTAAAGGTAAATGTTTTCTCATTATGTGACTAATATTAACTAATATAATTTAACTAATATTAACTAATATAATTAATTATAATTATAATGTGAGTGGATTGTGATGATTCTTTTTAAATGGAATACACTCTATATTATTGCATTTTTGGCTTCCTTTCTGATCACTTTACATAGTCTATTATAAGATATTGTCAAATATGTTTTGATAGTTTCATATTAATAAATAATTAAGAAGAATGTTTTTTTCAGACTTTTAAAAATAATATTAAAAATACAAGAAATGTCCTGAAATATACATTACATTCTTCCTTACTTCTACTTTACATCTTCATACGTTACATACTTTAGGTTTGCACTTATACAAAATTTCTAAGTTGTTTTTTATAGGAGTTACAGATGCCCTACTAATATTCCGGTTTAAATTTAATGAAGCAAATAGAATTTTAATTGAAAATCTCTATTTATAAATTTTTAAAGGAGAGGCATACTTTTTCTATATAGAGTATATTTCTTAGTATGCAGATTATAGTGCTAGCGTCTGATGCAGATAATACTGCTAGCGTTTGTAGTAAAGCAGAGCTAATTAAATGTTAAAATTGAAAAACTGGGAAGAAACGGTTTACTGCTAAACCTGTTATGAATTCGAGCAAGAAAAAATAAAATACGACTACTTTCTTTGATGTTCGCTTCGTTTTTAAAACACACATACACACTTAAAAACGTATCAAAGGATTTTACCTGTGATATTTTTGTTGCATCGGATATTTTAAAATCGTAATAAGCCCTGGACTCATTTAACGCTTAAAAACTGTGGGATAATTTATTTTAGCTCTAAGACCAAAATTTACCTTTAGTTATAAATTCCCCTTCTACGAAAATTTTCAAATTCGTTTTCACTTTGGTTTTATGCATTTAATTTTCGGCCAAATTCGCGCTGTAATTCGGTTTTTGGTTGACTGTTGCGGTTTCAAACTTAACCAAACGTCACTTTAAAACGCCAGACGAATTCATTTAACAACGGCCAAAATTAATCTCCATGATTAATAGTTAGAAGTAATTAGTTAATTTTGTTCAATTACCTCATTTATTATGCGTTGCTATATCGATTAGAATGATTTTTATTTGACTTTAATACTTCTTGAAACATTTATACTATTGTATTAATTGATCAGGTTTAATGAAATAAACAATACATAAATAAATAATAGTCGAAAATAACCGAGTTGTTTTACATCAAATATTTAAAAAAAAAGTTTTTTTTGCTTAAATTTTGAGAACCACCGGATTTTCCCTGGGTTTTCTTTGTTGAAAATTTAACCTACTGCCTATGTTGCCATATTATCAAAAAATTATCTTTTTTAACTAAAAACTAAAAAAAATTCCAAAATTTTTTTCATAAAATTACAAATTTTTATAATAATTTTTTTTTCGCGAAAAAAACCTCATAATTATTGTGTTTCCGGGTTGAAATATAAATATCTCTACTTGTTTAAAACTCACCCTGTATATAGCAATAAGGTAATAATAGAATTAAATATTTGTTCTTTTTCGGTAGTGAAGTGATGGGGCCCCTAGAAGAGATTTGAAGAACAACGCGGGAACTCTAACAAATGAAGAAATTGTAGTACTAGGAAGGAATTAAGAGGAAATAAGTTGAAAAAATACAAGAAGATAATAAAA